GCCATGTCCCCCCCCCGCCCGGCTCCTGTTGAGTTTCTAAAACAGACAAAACTGGGTCTCTCAGTTTAGAGACCACCAAGGCATTGCACATGGCGCTATGATACCCAGGTGCTCTCCGCGGAGCCATTCTCCCAGCCCCATGCCTCAGACTCTGCCCTGTGCTCCTTACTGTTAGAGCTGTGAAGGGCAGCCCTCCAGTGGTGAGCTTTGTTTTCCATTAGGAAAAGAAACCCTCTCTTCCACTCTCTAAGTCACTGCTGCTGGTGTGACAGAGGCCAGAGTGTCACACCCCTTGGAGCTGGAGTGTGGCAATTGTGAGCTGTCCCCCACAGGAACCAGCCCTCTGCAGGGGCAGTAGGCACTTTTAAACACCTCTAGTCTCTCCTGTTAACAACCCTTTTCGGGAGGTACATTGTGGTTGTTTATCAAATACATGAATTGTGATGTCATGTAAACAGTAAAAAAGGTGAAATTGAGTGCTGGCTTCGGCAGCACATATACTAAAATTGAAACAATATAGAGAAGATTACAAGGCCCCTGTGCAAGGATGACATGCAGGTTCATGAAGTGTTCCATATTTAAAACAAAAGATAAAATTAGATGCTATTTTAAGAAAGCACTTCACTTCCCATTCTAAGATGCTTGATAAATGATCAGCTTTGGAAAGAGTTGAGTTGACAATCTTATTAATACATGAAGGCAGTTTTTATATGCACATCCCACTTTTAACATAGTCAGAAAATCTTGTTTGATTAATATACATGATTCTGTAAGTTTGAATTGTTTATAGCTACCAAACATAAGTTGAAATGATCTGTTTCACTCATTTTTATACATTAGCCATTAACATGAACAATATTCTGAAAATAACCTAGGATGTGGTTTTTCCATTAGACATGTTTTTCAGTACAGTTGGGTGTCATCCCACGAGATGCGATGAGTTTGAAAAGAACAGCCCAGAGAATTACTTAGCGGGATTGCTGGACCTTGCTCAGAACAACAAGGGGAAAGTTGTAGCAATAGGGGAGTGTGGACTTGGTAAGTGCTGACCTCGACACTTAGCATCCTCTGAAGATAACCGCTTGCTATGTCCAAATCCTGAGTAATGGTTATTCTTTATCTTTTAAAGATTTTGACCGCCTGCAGTTTTGTCCCAAAGATACTCAGCTCAAGTAAGGAATTTGTTGATTTTAGAAACAGTTGTAAACTTCTAAGAATGGTTACATCAATTGAACATGTAGGGTTAGAGATCAAGGTGTGTTTGCTTTCCCGGCATGTATCAACAGTTAATCGAAACAAAGCCACTCATCTTTGCACGTAATTAATAATGCCCAACTCATCAACCATTAGGTTTGACTTAAATGGTAAAACAAAGAGATGCGTTTTATATCCTACAGACTTTTCAGTAGTGCTGGCAAGAGATACATTTGTGCTCAGCCATCTACCTTGGGCCACTCTAGTTTCTTATGCATGGAGAGGAACCTGGATCAAATTACCTCCTGATGAATAACTTTGTCATCTGATTAGGGGGACACCCATGACACCTGGGGACTTTTCACATCATACCTGCCAGGAATGTTAGCAATGCTGAGAGATCTGTCTCTTGAGCACCATGTGATTGGTTCACCTAACCTGAAAAGTTCACAGACTCACATGGACAGAAGTCTGTGTAGGCCATTCCTCCACTCCAGCATCTGCCTGAGCCAGTGTGAGCTTTCTGAGCCACAGACTGTTGCAGAGTCTGCAGGATATCTTGCCCATATGGCTTTTCTTCTAGAGCAGGTTAAAACTGATTCTCAAATGCCACCTACATACTGCAGGCCAGATCTTGGCTCCACGAAAGTATTGGCACTGTAGGTTCTGTTTACTTGTCTGGATAACTCCCATCATCAGTGTTAGAACTTTGAATGTGTAGCAGGGAATAGAGTAAGCTGTAATTCACATCCAAGTGTCAGTAACATAGAGGCTCTCACTCTATTCTGTGAGTGATTGCTGGCTGCCTCTTCAGAGTGATAAGACTAAGGCTTGATTCTTTGGCCTTTATAGACAAGAGGGTCCATAAATAATTGTAGTAGGCTAGTAAGTGCTGTCAGAAAGATGTACACACTAACAACCAAAAAATGTGTGGCTAGGAGATGACAGACCACCTTCTTAGGGGAATCTGGTATGTCTTTGCTAAGCTAACACTTGATACAGGTCTCTTCAAAAAAGGGTTAGATAAGAACAGACTGAGGAGAAAATATTGATAAGACAGCTTGGCAGTTTTTAACTTAAGATTTAAAGATGTCTATAGAAGTAAGAACCTCATTTGGATCGTTGTCAAGGAGACAGATACCCAGGGACCCCCTGTCCCACCTTGGCCTCCCCTGGCATAGGCTGACCTCTTGTGAGTGCATCAGTTTCAGTATACTTACTGACCTAGGTGTTTTGGAGATACACAGCAGACGGTGTCTTCCAGTGTGTCCATGGCATACAGCTGCTCTGCTCATGCAGCTCCCTTGGCAGGACTGTTATTTGCTTTTTGCTAAGTTGAACTTACTGTTGGAAGAATTTAGATCTTGATCTGTACTCTGTGCACTCATGTGTACACATGCGTGTGTGTGCCTATGGAGGCCAGATGTCACTCCTGGGTGTCACAACTCAGCAGCTGTCCGTCTTGGTTTTTGAGACAGGGTTCCTAACTGACACCTGGGACTCTTCGTGTCCATGGTTGCTGGATAGCAAACTCAGGAACACGTGAATGCCTGGGAGACACTTCACCTCCCACGCCACCTCCCAGTCCCCTGATCTCTGTTTCCTTTTTTCCTTTTCTTTTCTACCTTCCCTCCCTCCCTCCCTCCCTCCCTCCCTC